TTCGGATAAAAAAAGAATTATCCAAATCGGTCCACTAGCGGCGGAGTTATGCCGTAACACACATAAAAAAAAAATAAAAAAAAAAAAAATATACCGTCGAATTGAATACCTCCTTCTTTTGGGAAGTCGGTCAAAAAACCGTAAACAATCTTACTAATATCATAAATGCGAAAGTTTAGACGGATGGAGTTTGTAAGAGTTTCTAGCCTAAACGGCTGAACGGATCTCGATGAAATTTAGCATAGATGTAGAGGATACGCTGGAAGAATACATAGGCTATATACTTTGTTATTCCACGCGGATAGAATCGCGGGCGAAAGCTAGTGAATTTATAAAAAATAAATAAATATCTTTTGTCATTCGGATAATTCGGCTCGTTTCCATGTTGCAATGACGGCTGTCAAATAATATAACTTTAGATAAGCAATACGATAGTAGGCATAACAGAGACTAGTATTGTGTTGACCTCAAACACAATATTTTGTTATGTATTTAACATGTGTAATTTGGAGCGAAAACATATTTATCGAAGTATAGTAATAAATGTAAATATTTATACAGATGCGTATGTATCCAAGTGCGTATTATTCAAATGATTTGTAATAAATAAAAATTTTCATCATTCTAGTCCGTTACATTAGCATAATTTTACCATCATCTCATCTCCCTTCTTATCCTTTTTTTTCGAAGGGGAATGCGTTACGCACACTCCGTGCCTCTGGGCAGACACGTGAGTTATGTGGGACTCTCCCCCCATAGTGGAGGCATACCTCCTGGCCATTGTGTGGGACGCCACGGGATCGCTTGCGCTTGCCACTGCGACGCATTCTCCTTATCCTACTCCCGTAGGACGCAACAGGTTTTTGTCCTTCACATAACTCTATCATACGTCATCTCAGTCATCACTCCCTTGGCCATGTCACCTTTCACGCAATCCATCTCTTCCTTTCCTATTAACAGAACCATCTTTCCTTTTATGACTTACTCCGTGCGGCTTCATCCGCATGTAATAATAAAAACTTTATTTAATTGTTTTGCATTTGCTAAATTCTCAATTGCAAATGTCAAAATTACCGTTACCATAATAACCTTGCTTCCTTAAAATAATGTTGGCAGCTTGTAGTTTATGGTCCCTTTCCCGGATGAAGGTTTTTTTCCGATTAAGCGTGTCGTAAGTGTAGGGCTTTTTATCAAAGAGAGGATTATTCTAAAATATGTTGTGATTGCTGACATCCTACGCCAAGAAGTAGTGTGTGTTTATGCTTTATTATATTAGTATAGATAAAAACTGTTAGAAAGCAAGTGAAGACAGGAAAGTAGTAGTGAATCGGCAATAAGAAAGGTCATCGTAACGCTTATCATATGTAAGTCAGACTAGAGATAACATGTCTCAAGTACTGGCGATATCGTCGCGTGGCATATTGAGTGCACATCAAAATGAATAAAAATAACGCTCGTGTATGTGATAACAATGAAAACAATTGAATAAATAATAATAGAATCGGATTTTAGTTAATAAATTTTAAATCAAGAATCTAACGTTGACACACAAGAAGTATAAAGAAAAAGAAGCTATAATCAAAAAGTTAGCGTGGTACGGACTTTGCAGTGATTTGATTAGAATTGAATGTCTAAGAAGGTAGAGGAAGACCTAGAAAGTATGGATTGTAGGAAAGAGGATGTGCTTAAGAGAGTGAATTCAGATATGACGGCTTACAGAAATGTATGGATAAGCATATATAGCGCCGACCCTCCGTAGGGACAAGGTCAGGTTAATGGCAATACAAAGCATGTTTAAAATTATTAAAACAAAACAATGACATCTTTGGTAATTCCAAAAATACCGCATGTTTACGAAACATGTGATTCAAATTCTCATTTCAGTAGCCACGTGCCGTGTTCGTGTTAAACTTTATATAAAGACCATGACCTATTTGTCATTTCAAACAAAAACGGACAGATATAAATACACAAAAACCTCGCATTAATACAGAGTGTTTTTTCCCCAACCAACCAATCAGTTCAGCTGTGTCGTCTCAATGATATACAAACCCACATACATGAAACAAATTTACACGCGAAATACATCACCCTCTGTCTAGACATATAACAATCTGATACCAAAACTGTCAGTTAACGACTCCGTGATTAGAGGTTGCAAGTTAAGTGAATAATCACCAAGTAACTTTGACCCGGGAATTGATAAGTATACAAGTTATATCATTGTTAGATAAAACATAATTGAGGAAGATTTTGGACGATCTAGAAAATGCGCTTTAATTAAAATGGCAATTAAATACTAGGATTAACTTTTTTTGGCTAAATCGATGTGAAATATTCATATTTATATAGTTTTAATATTTATTGATAGAGGGATATCTATACTGATATAAAGAGGAAATTGTATTTTTGTATGTAGTGAAAAAACTCAAAAACCACTGGGACGATTTCCAAAATTCTTTCGCCAATTAAAAGCTACGTTATCAAGGAGTAGCATAGGCTATATTATTATTATCTCACATCTTTATTTTCTTATTTTTATATATAATATATTTCACATGATTTTCTTAAAAAAATAACAAAATAAAACATATTATATAAAAAAATAGAGCACCACCGGCTGCGGAATCCGATGACTCAAGCAACCAGTGGTCAGGGCTGCAGAGACAGGAACCTCCTCACTAGTCGTGCGGTTTCTAAAATAACCGCCTTTTGAATCGGGCCCTTAATCCAACTGTCTAGCGAGAGCTTCTTGAGGTGTTGGTCGAAGCTCTTCGCTATCAGCCCGTGTGCCGAAACGACTATCGGAATAATGGTAGTCGATTTCATACGCCACATGGCGGTAATCTCGTGAGCCAAATCCAAATATTTCAATAGTTTTTCATTTTCGGCTTTCACGAGATTCTCGTCATGTGGGATAGTGACATCGACCAACATTACACAACTCTCAGACCGATCTATTATTACTATATCAGGTCTATTGGCAGCAATAGTCCTGTCCGTAATAATAGATCGGTCCCAGTAGATCGTGATACGGCTATTTTCCAGAACTGGTGTAGGCTGATATTGGTAATATGGTACCTCAGATTCCACAAGAGCATATTTAAGGGCAAGTTGCTGATGGATAATTTATTATTATTATTATTATTTATTTCAATGCAGGAGAAGTCGTGGATATCCATGAGAACGTAACTATATCGTCAAAATATCGAAATAAAACACCAAAAAAATCTCATACAAATATCGATGACGTTACAAATACGTTGAAATGTCACACAGATTCCTAATAGACCCTCAGTTCGACTTTGATGAAGTTGTTATTATGTCCTTTTCCATTATTGTAATAACGTATACCTACAATAGCTATCATAAAACTTACCTTCAAAGTCAAGGTTTTAAAAATAAAACATGAAGTGAGTCAACTCACAAGTATCTATTGTAAAATGATAAATTCCTACACCGATATTAAAAAGCAGCCATTGTTTTAGCAATAAACGTGACCTTTGACTGTGTTAACTATACGTAGAATTTAGATAAAGTTAACAATACACGTGTGTTGAACAAAGAATTAGTACATTATATACGAGAAAGGAAACCATATAACATTTATATAGAACATAAGATAAGGGGACAGTTTATATAAATATAGTAACATTCAAACTTTATAGAAGCTCGGAAGCTCGAACACGATTTTAAGAACCGCAGAACGTAGCGTTAGAGTAAGGCGCGGTCGGAAAACAGCTCAGAGCCTGGCATAAAAGGAATTCACAGGTCTGAGATTTTTTTCACATAACACATTGACAGGCAAACTTTATAGAAGTTCGGAAGCACGAGGAATATGAACACAAAAACGCAGAACGTAACGGTGTTAGGGTAAAGCGCGGAAAACAATTCAGGGCGTGGCAGAAAATGAACTCACAGGTCTGAAAATCTTTCACATAACACTCTTGGAACAAGTTGCCGGCCTCAGTAATCCCGTCCAGTTATGACGTGGGTGCCTTCAAGAGCATGGTGGCACTTATTGAGCTAGCGCGCATCTATTCTTCAGACGCGTCTTCACTTAGCTTAGGTGGAATCGTGGCCAAGAGCTGGTTTATTAAGAAAAAAAAAACTCTAAATCCCTAAGTAATGTCAAAAAGACTCCGTGGAACCTCCACCCCAGGGTCATGGCGCAATTAGGGCTTAAAACTTCAGTTAAGTGGTTGATTGCGGCTTAATGATAGCTTAAGTGTTACATAGATTATCTGTAAATATATTGAAGTGATCTGATTATACTATTTAGATTTACAGTACTCGTAAATTGCGATAATTCGAGTGTTAGATATCAAATGAGAACAGTAAACAAAATAATGGTCGATAATGAGACTATGTTTTTACTATACTACGATTAGACACGACCGTGAGCAGACTATTAGTTGATTTCCGTTTTCCGATGTCTTAGAAAAAAGTGTAAAAAAAGCTAAGAACATTTAGTGATGCGAAACAAAATAGATAACGTTAATTTTACGGTTTAGATTTTAACCGAATAAAAAATTACCGATTAAATAGGTGCCTTAATTTAGTGTTACTTCTTAATATAATAATATTATAAATGTGAAAGTTTATGTGGATGAATGTTTGTTATGACGTATCTCCAGAACAGTTAAATGGATCGGAAAAAACACATAGCCTAATTAAGATTTATTTCAGTAATTCAGCAAGGACGGAGTCACGAACTAAAGCTAGTTTCATAAAGCTTATACGTAATGTGAACACACAGGGAATTTCATCTGCAATGACTTGTATTACATACTAGTATTCCGCGACTGCGTCCTCGTGGAATTAAAAATAAAAATAACCTATGTGCTATTCCAGACTATGTTCTACATCTATGCCAAATTTCATCGACAACCGTTCAGTAGTTTAGGCTACAAACTCTCACACATCCATCCAAACTTTCGCATTAATAATATTAGTATGATTTATATCGTGATATTCCATTCATTGTCTTTGAGGTAACAGAACCCGATGTCTTTGTTCAATATATCACTGTGGAGTTTCACGGTATTACACGTTCTCACAAGACCCTACACAGTCGGCAATTCGCAAATCACCGGACGCAATTGCATCCATTGTATTGAGTTTATACATATACTATACTGTACACTGAACAGGGATTATACAATCCAATATTACTAAAAAAATGGTGGATCTATATTTTGTCAATACTAATATTATAAAGAGGAAAGTTGTATTTTTGTATGTATCGGGAAAATCAAAAACAACTGTCAAATGTTTTAAAAACCATTTTAGTTTAATATAGTGTTTGTTTTTTTTTAACGACGTAAAAGTATCAATGACCTTATTTCAAAGAATATTCGCCGATCACGAGATTCTTTTGGATGAGTTTCAATTCTTAACATAATGTATCTATTCTGAGTAATGTATAATTAAAGATGTAGACGAATTTCAAAACCTACGTATGTATATTGCATGCATAAAATAACTAAAAGCTAGCAACACACGCTCAGTTTAATCTGAACTGTCGGGTCGTTCAGATAGATCTAAAGTGTGTCGGTAAAGAACTGAACAGTTCCCAGTTTTGTTCGATGTATCTGAACGATCGGATTGTTTCGAAAAAACTGTCCGATAAAAGTTGTGTGTAGCGGACTTAACTGATTTTGAAAAGAAGTCGTATTCGATTCTCTTTCTCAAACCGTCATAGCCGAGAAAATCCTCTTTTTTTAATTTAAAAAATGTTTCTACATTTGAAATCTGTAACTTTCGTAATTTAATATCAGAAATACCAACATAATTTAAAGTATAAATGCAGTAATAATTTACGTTTATTTTCATATAACGTATCTACAAACTACGCAGTCTAAGCGACACGTGTAACAAACCGACGAAGCGATAATACGTTAATATGTTTCTACGCCATAACCGATTTCACGGTCTTCCGTCTAACACGAAAACAAAATTAAAACGTTATTTGATGCATTTTCACATTTACACGCCTGTAAGTCAGTGTGGTAGGCAGAGAACATGGACCATTTGGCTTGATCCTGGGATAACTGTGGCTTCTACATTCATACATGGTCCTGCACTTCGGTATTCGGTTCTCTTAAAGCCATTAATATTTTACCACAATTATAGGTGGTCGCTTTATTTCTGATAAACTTTGCCGTACATAAATCATAGAGGAATACTTTAGATATATTACACGATAAAACAGTCCATAAGAATAGACAAGCGACGTATTAGTAAATAGTAATAGAAAATTTTGGCCAAAAGCCAAACATCCGAAGCTTACTCGACAACATTAGAAAAAAAATCAAGGCCTAATGCATTGTTAAGCGCATTAAATCTTGTTATCTAACTATGGACAAATAACAGTCAATAACGGCATTTCGAAATTTGAAATAAGAATTTAATTACCCGGAAGTAGATATTCCAATTAATTTGACATTATTTTCGGCCAGCATTAATGCAACAGTTAAGATATTTGGTTTTTCGATATTTCTTGTCTAAATTAAGAAACCAACCATGGATAATAAATCATCAAGTATTAAATCCATAGAACGAGGTCAATGGGCTAAGATATAATTAGGAAACTAAAATTGGAAGCGCCTACTAAATTATGACGAAAATAAAATCAATCAGTATCGATTATGTCGCAACTTAATGGTAGTAGTTACTTTAAAATTACTGAGAAATTGGAAAATAAAAAGGTAAGGTCTCAATTAACTTGATTGCAAGCGCAAATAATTTTCAACAGAAAATTTCATCAAAACAAAGCTTACCTCGTTATCTTCTATTAGAGTCGCAACTCGTCCGGGCTGTAACAAAAAAAATGGATTACTTAATGCGAAAGTTTAGATGGATGGATGGATGTTTGTTAGAGTTTGTAGCCTAAAGTGCTTAACGGATCTCGATGAAATTTGCCGTAGATGTAGATGACAGTCCGGAAGAACACATAGGCTTACTTTTGTTTTTTTAATTCTACGCAGGCGAAGTCGCGAGCAACAGCTAGCTTGTCTATAGTTTCTGAATTCAAATACATAGACAATGTTACACTAAAAAAATGTCATCAAGGTTCCAACGTTGCTATACTCAATTCCCGGCAGTTTGTAAAACAAATTTGCGTTTCGTCAACACGCTTATATTCCGTGTGACCAAAATAAACGAGACTACGCAAGTTTCAAACATTCTTTACGACTTCCGTATATAAAATATTGGACTAAAATCTACAATTCTTTTTCATCATAACGTAATTTACACAGATAATTAAAAAAAAGCATAAGGTGAAAATAGTATTATAAAAAAAAAAACAAATTGTTCCCAAATATATTTTCTTAACAGAGCCATAGAAATATTCAACAATCAGATAATGAGAAAAAAGTCTCTCATTTTGAATTTGCCTATAATCTTACTAATATTATAAATACGAAAATTTAGATGGATGGATATTTGTTAGAATTTAGCTAGGCTACACACAGGCTTCTTTTGTTTTTTAATTCTACATGGATGGAGTCACGGGCGAAAGCTAGTTTTAATTTAATAAAATCTTTTTAAAACGGTTAGTCTATAAAAAGAGAATATCCAATGTAAATAATGTCATAATAACTGAAAGTGTAAGGTTTCTGTCTAATAAGATTGACTCTTGAACTTGCTTATGTAAACAAAGATAAGAAAATATTGACAAACACAATGAATAAAGGTCTTGTAACAGAATAACATTTATTGTGATTCTTTTTACTCGCATCATCACTACCTCACTATATGTCCCCATCAAGGGGCTTGGAGCTTTTTTTCCAGATGGTAATGGCTTCTTGCATTCTCTGTGCTTTGGGGCAGGTACAAGAGTTATGTGGGATTCTCCCTATAATGGGGCATACCCACTAAAACCCTCTGTTCCCTCCTAGCCATTGTGTGGGACGCCACAGGATCTCTTTCGCTTGCCACCGCGATGCCCCACTGACCGCCCTGGGAAGAGATTCTCTGTGCGTCCCATAGGATTGGGATACTGCACCCTAAAGCGCTGAAGGGCTTGGAGCCTACATTAAGTTAGGGAACTAGACCATAGTCAACCATGCTGGTCTAATTCAGGTTGGTTGACTTCACACATTTCTTTGAATTTCTTCACCAATATGTGCAGGGATCACAATGTTTTCCTTCACCTTAAGAATGTTGGATAAATTATGTGCATATGCAAATTCAAATATCACTTTGGTACATGACTGGATTCGAACCCAAGACCTGTAGATTACAAGTCAAGTGCTTAAACCACTGAGCCACCGCTCAGATTCTTATCACTTTGGCTGCACTAAAACATACTATTGCTTTGTAGGCAAAATTAAGACATACTCTCTGTTACTGGCAACTTTGTGCGCAAAGAATTAAATAAAAAAATTAGTAGTCTATGTGTTCTTCCAGACTGATCTATGTCTACACCAAATTTCATTAAGATCCCTAGATCCATTCAGGAGATAACTTTTAATAAACATCCCATACATCCATTCATCCATCTTAATTTTTATAATTTTTGTCAGATCTGTAAATAGTTCAAAGATATGTGTAAAGTCAATCCACATTGAGCCAGAATTAACTAAAATCTAGTCACACCTAACTTGTCCACATTCAGAGACCTACAGTAGGTAAATGAGCCAAAAATAAATAAATAAATAAATAAATAAATAAAGTTCCAATATCTTTTTATTTTATTTTATCTTTTACCTAATTGGTTTTTAATTAGAAACTTTATTGTAAGTGTCATTTCATAACATGTTCCATAATTTAAAAAAAATTAAAGCTATTTTTACATTAACACTTATGAGTAATTTTCGGCCAGTTTTTTAATAACATTGACAGTTAACATTAATTATTTCAGATAACGGATTTTTAAGAATAAAAATGAAGTTCTTTTTTAAACCCTTATCTTTTTACTTATAAGTGCTCATAATTAAATTAGTTTAAGTCATTTTAATATGATTAATCGTAACGTTACGAGAAACTCGATGACGTTATTGGAAATTACCTTGGTTTCGGTTCCGCGATGAGTTGTATTGCCTTGCCAAAAACGTCGTGAAAATCCTTTCACGTATCCTGTAACTGACTGTTGGTAGTCGAAGCCAGGGTTCCAGCAAAGAGATCCATATCCAAACACCCAAAAAGGTTCTTTTCTTAGCATTTCACCTTCATGTTCTATTTTTATAGGTATTCTCGACACATTTTCTGTTTGATCCATGTTTTCTTTTTGATTTTCCATCAGATCACTATAATTTTCTTTTAAAAATACAGGTTTTCTCTTAAAATTACCTTTCTGGCCTTCACAATTTGCTTAAAATAAAGTAAAAATAGTCGAATCGATGAATTATGCCAATATCTAGAGCATTTAACACTGTTTTTATTCACTATTTTTTTCAACTTTTTTCATTGTGGGTATTTTAAATACGGGTGTCAAATAAATTTAGCACTATGCAAGGAAATATTTTCTGATATAAATCTTTCCATGTTGGCGTACAATTGCTTACTGAATAGTGATGGGACTCGAGTTGCTTTTTACTCGAGTGACTCGAGTCATTTTTATCTTACTCGGACTCGAGTGAAATTTTTGACAACTCGAGTTGCGAGTGACTCGAGTTGACTCGAATTACGAGTGACTCGTAACCACTTTTTTGGCTTATACCAAGCGGAGTAAGAAATTCTTACAGCAATTTCAGTTAAATTTTTTATATTTTCAAAAATACATATTTCTGTTGTTTTGTTGAGTTTATTTAAGCTTCATTTAAGTTAATTTTAAAGCATGTTTATTATCTAAATTGTGTAAGAACATAATAAAATTGTTCATATTTGGATTTCATGAAAATTACTTTTTAGAATAAATTAAAATGGATTAGAACTTATTAGTAGTACACTATAAAAATTCAACTGAGAGTTGTATAAGAGGTTTCTTGATTATGTAGACAGGTTTAGTTTAAAGGAAAACACTGTTTTTACACATTTTGTTTAGATTTTTTGAGTAAAATTCACGATAATGTGAAAATGATTTTTTTATGTTAAATTATTATTGTTATATTGGTTTTAAAAGTTTGGTTACTCGATTTTTATATTCCGAGTGACTCGCGTCTATAAACATCACTCGAGTCTTATGTTCACTCGAGTGGCATTCGAGTGAGAAAGTTACCAGTACCGAGTGACTCGAGTGAAAAAAAATCACTCGAGTCCCATCACTATTACTGAATGAAATTGAAAATGAATAAAACGGAAGATCGCAGTGTAAACGACTGAAACAGAATAATAGAAACGAGGGAGATAGCCAATGCAGATTGTAGATGACATTTATAACGTTTCATTTCAAGTATCGTTATTCTATAAGCTTGCAATTTAACCATCAATTATTTTGTTACATATAAAGAAATAAAGTAAATCAATAAAAAATATGTTATTTCTGTGTTTATTATCTTGCCATATACTTTTCGATAATTTTTAAGCTACGTTTTTTAGTCGAATTATCGTGCGTTCTATATAGTAAGTTTTGATAAACGAAACCGGTATCGACCGTCCAATGAAAATATTATTTCAATGCAAGGCGGCAAGGGAATCTTCAACGAGGTCACGTTCATTGGTCGAGAAAGGCTGATGCAATTTTTGAAATTCTTTGCATGAACTATTTAAATTACCTTTCTATTTTTTTTTTAAACTTACAATAGACAAAAATATAGTTTAATTATTACACAATAGAGACAATTTTCATTCATTCGAATGCTATTTAATTGAATTGAGCAATATTAAAATGGATTATTTTAAAGTTCATGCTATGTTTTGAATCCCTCTGGATCATTGACCTCGGGAAGGTGGCGGGAAATGCTTGTATACGGTATGACATTGAAAAGCCCTCTTATAACGGTTAAAATAATATGTATGTATGCAAATACTTGTACATGTCAATTTGTCAATAATTCTATCCGAATTAGAAATATCGGTGTTAAGAGCTTGTACACTCAAATAAAATTTACTTCTCTAAACTCGCTGAAAAAGGTCTTGCCTTATTCACATTGGGTATAATTATGCGTTATAGTTCGCTGACTTTCTCCAGAGAGAGTTATAGTACTCGTACTTTGAAAAGGGGAAATTTTAAATAAGGTTTAAGAGTTACTGATAAATAGAAGAACGAAAATGCTGCATGATGAACAGTAATGCCAAAAAAAATTTACACAACGCAAAATAAACAATATTATTTTAACTTGGGTATAAACAGGCGGTTGTAAAATCGGGCCCGTCGGAATTTCCTAAGCCCATTTTTGGGGTCAAATGAGCAAATAGACCCCAGAATTAGCCGAAAAGATGTAGACAACAAATTTGTAACAGTAGATGAAACTAAGACGAATTAACAATAAAAATAAATAATTTTCTTTTTTTAATTACAGAAATTATCAATTTGATACAACGCCATCTAGTATTCAAATGAATTACTTCGTGCAAACTAATTACACATGAGAGTTGAATAAAAGCAATAATAGAGGGCGCTAAAAGTATAATTTGCATGATGGGAAAGAAAATCGAGGACCAAAAAATGTTTAGAGCATTTACTTAAAAGCATACCTAAGTAAACATTAACCATTCCCTTGTCAGTTTCGAATGCTTAATTCATCTGCAGTGATAGCTTTATTAAAATGTCAGCTTTAGAAAAGTTGAAGTGAAAAGGGTCATCTGTGAGCGGGTTTCCATTCGTTTAAAAAGATAATATTGAAAAGGATTTAGATATATTTTCGAAAGTACTAGAAAAAATTATTAATTTTAGATTAATCAATTACCTAAATAAGAATAACATTTTATCTTCTTCACAGTATGGGTTTA